GGTTTGCAGTTTCTTTCACTTAGCTAGTCAGTCTTTGCCTGGGGGGGGGGGTGTTGAGACAATATAAACAATGATAAATTGAGCTAATTGTACAAAAAGGAAATGAAAAGCTGTATTCCAGCCACTTTTTGTTTTACTGGTGATATGGGAAATATACTTGTAGTGAATGAACGTAGTTATATTTTAATACTGAAAATGTAGCACAGATGAAGGCAAATACACTTTTAAAGAAAGGATCATAAATGAGTAAGAAAGGTGAGAAAGAGTAGGAAAGAGTAGGACTGCAGTTTCCAAAAAGGACACAATCAGGACATCAGGAGAGGCGTTTATTCTGTGCTCAGCAAGTAACCATGACATTGACATATCACTTACTTTGGGCTGCCATGTCTTGATCAGCAAAGAGAGGGATCTTACCTATAGACCTGTTACATCTCTTTTGGTCCTCACATTTTTTTGATACATTCAACAACAAAGAATTCTTATTGCATTCTTATTTACAGGGCTGATTCAGTGTCTGGTGGGGACCCACATCCTGGTTCATAGACTATCGTCTTGCTGTCCTCAACTTGGCAGAAAGAGAGAAAGCTCTCTAAGGTCTATTTTATAAGGGCACTAATTCCATTCAGGAGAATTCTACCCTTATGACCTAATCGCCTTCCAAAGTCCACACTTTCTAATACTTTCCATTGGGAGTTAGGATTTCAGTATCAGAATTCGAAGTGGCAGGCGGGGGGGCGGGGGGGGATAGGGGTGGGAACAGAAGCATTCAGTCCTTAACAAGAGTTGATCTTTTTAAGCAAGTGACCATAACTATATGCTGTGGAATCTAGGGTGGGTAAAAAACCAGGAGGAGGCTGATGGAGAGTGAGAAAAGAGTGATCAGTGCATCAGCTTTCTTCCGCCGACTTGAATTATCACTGCAACTCTTTGACTAAGATTATTGGAAGGCTCCGAGATAGTGTTTGGAGATGTCAGAAAGTGAACGACTCAGTGGGGTGGAGCAGAGATTCATTGTTTCTGATGAATGACTGATGGAAACAAGAGGCCATGAGGTTGAACGCCTTACCCATTTGAATGAAGACATCCTGGAGAAGGATGACAGCTATTGGTTGGCCCAGAGAGGAAGACTATGTGTGGTAGACTATGTTTGTCAAAGTCACTAGTGATAGAGTAAGCGAGAAGTCTGTAGATGACAACAGTGCTTAGAGGGAGGTTTTACGAGGTGCCGCGAGCCTCAGAGGAGCTGAGTGTCTGTAGGAGAGGAGAAGAAAGGTTCAGATGTGGCCTTGCAAAGTCAAAAATACACCTACCCCATCTCGTGGCCCTGGGGGATTACAGTTTGTTGATAACCTATCTAAATCATCAGGTTGTAGATGTCATCCAGATCTCTGAGGACAAATTAACGCCCTAGATGTTTATATGTGAAACAAATTAGGTTCTATTTATATAGCATAACAGCTGCCATTCAGCCAGAGGAATGTCAAGGAAACCCTTCTAAACAAAATCTTAGGAGGCCACGTAGCTGATTATAATCCAGTTCTTTGACCCTGATGATATACTTGAAGTATTAAATGCAAACAGCAGGTCAGATGGCCATTCAAGAAAACTGTGACCTTGAAATTTCAAGGAACCCATGTGCTACTGAAATACACTTTTAAATCAAGCTCATAAAGTTGAAGTGTCAAAGTGTTAAATATAAAGTGATATTACTATTATTATATAGCTGTAAGACTTGGAAACAAAAGGGTTTTAATATTGGACTGCAGGAGTCACGTACAACCTCTTTGTTTCCCATGTAACAAAGGAAACAGACTCAGAAAACAAGATTTCAGGAGCCTCAACCTGTCCTTCCTCCTCAATACCTCAACAACAAAACTTTCCCTCAATGCCATAGTCTTAATTCTTTCGTCTGTATTACCTGGAAATAGCATTAAATGAAAAGGTAGAGAGACTCTAGGGCCTTGCTAGTCAAAGTGTGGCCCATGAACCACTAGGACCAGGGGCATCACCTGGGAGCTTGGGAGAAACAGCATCTTGAGCCTCATACCAGACGTAGAGAATCAGAATGTGCATTTTAACAAGATCTCATATTCACATGGAAGTTTGGTAGGCAGCATTCTAGAGCAAGTGAGTCCACTTGGAAAACCATCCACTCCAATCAGCAGGGCCTCTGATGCCTGGAGAGCTGGAGTCCCTTGTCAGACAGAAAGAAAACATACCATCACTGGACCATTCTGGGATGTTATGACCATTCTGAATGTTATGAAACAACAGGAACAAAGTATGCTGTGCAGTGGGATGACACATTTTAAGGAGTGGTACTGACCTTTCCAGAAAGCGGAGAAAGGGATATTGCAAAATATTGAGTGGTCCTTCTGACACTGCTCCTGCCAGAGGAGGAGAGGGGGAGGGGCAGCACGCATGTTCCTCAGCTTCCTGCATTCGGGGCAACTGTTACTCTCTGGCTAGTGTTATTTTTCATTATTACAAACAATGCAAAAATGAGCATAATTGAGGATCAAAAAGCCACATTTGTTATTTCCAAATACCAAACAAAATATTGGCTTGAATCCTGAATCGTTTAATAGACTTGTTTTCAAACGTGGCCACATTAGAACACCCGATGATCTTAAAAAAAAAAAAATCCTGATGCCCAAGCTGGACTCCAGAGCAATTAAACACAAATCTGGGTGGAGGTGACTAGGTATCACTGTGTTTTAAAGCTCCTCAGGTCATTTCAGTGTGCAGCTAGAGCTGAGAACCACTGCTTTAGTAGCTCTGAGATTACGGTTCTGCCTCTCCACTTACTCAAGTGATGGGGTCCTCTGTGATTCCCAGAGCACCAGGCAGAGTCAGCAAGCCTCACGCTCTTGCTTGTGTGTGTGAAAGCCAATGGGGCAATTTGGGAGATGCCACAATCTCTACTCAGAAGAACTCGGGACTGGGATATAGGCAGGACACTTGGGCTCCTGTGTGTGAGTCTAGTAACTCTTTTCCCCCTTAGGCAACATATATGATTAGGGGTAAGTTGGCCAGGTCACCTTGGATTGTTGAATGAAATGAGCACTGATTTAATGACTTTGGTTCCTTTAACTCCTCTTGATTCCTAAGATAGCCCATGATATCTCCAAGAGGATGTTGATGTTTTGTATTACTCCACGACCTCTGACCTCTGCTTGGCCTTTTGAGTGCATGGGAAGCAGATAATTACCACCCCTTCTATCTTGAAAAGTGTGAAATGAAACGTGTAATAGATTCAAAAATAGTGCATTTTCTCCTTTCCCAGGATCTGAGTTAGACATTAAGATCACTAGCTAATGCTGAGGAGTGAACCACGGCCAGAGAAGGAGGAATATATTAACCTGAGCACAACCATCACTGTTCCAGTTTGCCCCACCACCCCCCTAAAGAAAAAGCCCTTTCTTAAATTCTGTACCCACACCAAAGTGACACGTGCCTTAGCTGGACTGCCTGGGTTCTAATCGTGGCTCCCTGACTTTCGCACTCATCACCCTGGACAAATTAATTACCTTCTGCTTGCCTCAGTTTCCTCATCTTCTAAATGGGCGTGACAATATTAGCACCTATCTCATAGAGTGGTCATGGGGTTCAGTCTGTTAACACAAAGAGCACAAACAGCTGGTACACAGAATGTGCTTTGTGAGTATTAGGTAATATTTTTTTTTAGGATGAACTTACAGGTTTTTTGGAGTCATTGTGATCATTGTGATCCATTTGTAGGGTAAAAAGTTGAGCTTGTCTGTGTCTAGTCCAAATTTTAAATTTTGTAAAAACCCCCAAAACATGTTTTTTGAAGCATTCTATCTGTTCCTGTAAAATCCATTAAATCCTCTGTGGTGACCGACATCTGCTGTAAGCATAAAAGAAATTGTACAATGGGGATGGAACAGAAGAGTATTTTTTGTACAGATCCAACAGCGACACTGATTCATGGCCATCTGATGTGTCTTCTTGAGCAAGTTATTACAAATATCAACATTTCAGATGTTAGTCACTTAAGTAAAAGAATTTGACAGATTTTTTCAGGAAAAATAACTGCATCGTATTTTATGAAGCCAACAAATAAAAGGGGAAGAAAAGGATTTCATAAGTGTTGTGTAATTTCAGACCATTAAAAAAACATTGCGAATCCCATTTTCACTGGAAAACTTGCTCAAGAAATGATAGAATATCATTGCTTGAGAAATATCCCTTCTATCATGAATGATAGAAGTCAGTGCTATTTAATTAATCCTTCGTTATATTTTGAAGTCTATTTTTCTTAAAATATTTAAATGCCGGGGAGGGGTTCATTTTTTATTAACTGATTTATCTTACTCTCATTTAATAATAAGGTCACTCGTTAGCTATTGAGGTACTTCGGATAATTTATAGACTCCACCCCGAATGATAATAGCCAGGTTTAAATAGGTGTTTTTTGTGGCTTTTCTGTCTGCTGTTGTCGTGTATATCCTCACAGGCGAGCACAGTCCTCGCCACCTCTAGTGGCATTTCTGACTGGCTGCCTCTGATCTGGGTAATCACTTGGTAGAACTGTGTTTTTTAAAAAATCCTAGGTGAAAACTTCAGTCTCTTGCCTTTTGTGCTCTGCTTCTTGAAGAGAGGTCAGGAGACCAGCAGCACTGGCACCACCTTGTTAGAAAGGGAGACTCTTGGGCCTCACTCCTGACCTACTGAATCAGAACCTGCATTTTAACAAGATTCTCGGGTGATTCATGTGTACATTAAATTTTTAGAAGCCCCACTTTAGCATATCAACTTTGTGACAGTTCATTTTTCTACTCTGACATCCTTTTTTAGCTTACAAGTTGTGTCTGGCTGGGTTCAAGGTTTTTATAGCTTGCCAAAATATTTTACCTCTAGAAATGAGGGGTGTTATTATAATGTCTGGAAGTGGATGAATGCTTGGTAATAGGTAATTGATGATTTTATTTTCTCTCCCCTAGGATTTCTCTGGTGATCTTGAAAGAGCCCGTATCATGGAATCGATCTCTATGATGGGAAGCCCTAAGAACCTTAGCGAAACTTTTTTGCCAAATGGCATAAATGGTATCAAAGATGCAAGGAAGGTCACTGTGGGTGTAATTGGAAGTGGGGATTTTGCCAAATCGCTGACGATTCGACTTATAAGGTGTGGCTATCATGTGGTTATAGGAAGTAGAAATCCCAAGTTTGCTTCCGAATTTTTCCCTCATGTGGTTGATGTCACTCATCATGAAGATGCTCTCACAAAAACAAATATAATATTTGTTGCTATACATAGAGAACATTACACCTCCCTTTGGGACCTGAGACATCTGCTTGTGGGTAAAATCCTGATTGATGTGAGCAATAACATGAGGATAAACCAATACCCAGAATCCAATGCTGAATATTTGGCTTCATTATTCCCGGATTCCCTGATTGTCAAAGGCTTTAATGTTGTCTCGGCTTGGGCACTTCAGTTAGGACCTAAGGACGCCAGCCGGCAGGTATGTGGTTTTTTTTTAATTTTTAAAATTTTAATTTCTTCTTATTTAATTATTGAAGTGGAGTTGACATACAGTGTTATTAGTTTCAGGTATGTAAGATCGTGGTTCGACAATTCTGTACGTCACTCGGTGCTCACCACGAGAAGTGCAATCACCATCTGTCAGCGCACAACATTATTACAATACTATTGACTGTGTTCCCTCTGCCGTACTTTTCATCTCCGTGGCTTACTTATTTTATAACTGGAAGTTTGTACTTCTTAATCCCCAATTTTATTGGTATTTATCTGGTATTTTGTATTTACATAGTGAAACAAATGTCATACATTTAAAAACCACATTCTTGACACTCTCCAGTGATTATCATTTTGAAAACCGTGTATGAGCCCCTGAAAATTCATGTCCTGACCTTGTAAGGGTACATTTCTATCCCTATAAAATAATGTGGATAGTTGAGAAAATTACTTGGACTTTCCTGTCATGACCAGCTAATTCAGGAAAGGGCAAAGTTGGCTGACGAATAATGGGACACATTGCACTGCGTTGGGGGTCTCTGGGCTTCCTCAAAAAGAGAAACAGTAAGAAACAGGTCTTTCTTCCACCTCTATCTCCCCATCTCACCTCTTCCCTCCCTCTCGCCCCCCCCCCCCTTCCTGGCAGCTATTTGCTAACAGTATTCCATCTGTGTATGAAACACTATTTAGTATGATCCTCAAGAAGAATGCTTTAGAAGTACCTTTTTATTTTATGACGATTATTTGTAGAATTTAAAATAGTGCAGTTCATTTTATTTAAAGTGTAGATTTTAATCTGTGTGGGGAGGTAGAGTGGATTTCTTAGGTTCTTTTTTAGGGTATGGGTTCTATCTAGTTCAACTTGAGAATAAAGCAGATGGGGAGCTCCATCAATGCCTTTATGGAACAAGACCTTTTAAAAGTAAACACATAAAATAGTGTACCTTAAATATTTTTTAAAGGTGTAGTTATGCATTATAGATGAGCATGATGATAAAGTACTTTCATTATTTTTGTTCATAAAGACAGTTCATGCCTTAGGTTCAATGCCTTAGAAAATGAATTCAAGTATCACCATGATAACCATTCACTTTCAAGTCTTTAATTTGGAAGACTAGTAAAAGATTATACACTTTCTAAATCCTTTTTTCTTTTGGATATCCATCAAAGTTTAGGAATGGATACATACCAAACAAACTAGGGATAAACCTAAATTTAATCTTTGCCCATAATTGTGGTAATTTTAATTCTTTAACAACTACAAAAAATACAAACTACAAAAAATATGGAATTGAATTCAAAGTGAGCTACAGAAATAGTTTCATTTGTATTCCATAGTCCTGCCTTTGTTATGAATGTTTGATTTATACATTTAGGCTTGTAATTAAATGAATTTTAAATTTATTTAAATTTAAATGTTAAAGTTTATAGGTTATATTTATAGTTAAATTTTATTACAGGGTTTGTTTTTTTTTACAAGAAATAAAAAGGTCAGCATTGTCACAGCTGTAATAAATTAATTTAGAATGCTTTTCTTTATTTCTTTGGAATATAGGTATTCTTCCCCACTCCACTTTAGAAATTCATGAAAATTTGTGTAATAATATAGACTTTGTTATTCATCTGGCTAACGTTAGGTAAGATTAATAATCCAAAGAGCTCTACATTGTCAGCATAGTGCAGATTTTAGCATGCAAATATTTCAGTGTGGTCTGTTCCAGAGACCTTATATAAACATCTTCAGGGATATATTTAGGAATTTGTTTTCCCCAAACATTACCCAGAGACTTTACGGCAATATTTTGCTAGCCCTGAGTGAGGTGACCTACCCATAAGTAATAGTGGCTCATGTGCTGAACAAGTATTTGTTGAATTCTCAACTACAGTAATATTTCTAAGAGGTTTAGGTAGTTTGAAAGTCCAACCTCACCCCCACCCGTCACTTCATTATATAGAAGTAACACCTTAATCTTAGATAATGGCAGTTACTTTACCATTTAAATTAAGCCTTATAATAACCATTTTTTCCCCACACAGGTATAGTATCCTTATTTACAGATGAAAGAATTTCATATTCTGATCAATGAAGCAATATAATAATAACTTGAGATTATTCATGGTTTTTCAGATAACTTGGTGAATCGGCTTCTAAGCCAAAGATAAATTTTACAAATAGTACAGCATTGTGACATAAGTTAGAGATTTTTAATTGCAAATTCAACCATCCAAAGTCCATGCCCATCTTCTCTCTTGCTGAATGTCTGTAAAGGACAGTGCTTGTAATCCCTCTGCTAGACAGAATCACTGTAGTCTTAGAACTAGATACTGTCCTCGGAAGCCTGGGGAGCCCGCCCTACCCTAAACTCCACCTAGACCTTACCTTGCCACTACTGAACCACACATTCTAGAAACCTTTCTTTCCTCCTCCTTCCTTCCCCTGTGGATGCCCCGATCCCAGGTTCCAGCAGGTTTTTCCTGCATTTTATTTTCATGTCATCACAGGTAGCAAGGACTTTGTTGTTTCTATGACACTGTTTTAACCTATTAATAAATAGATTAATATGTTAATAAATGCTTTATCTCAACTTTTTTGCATCACTCGAGTTTATCACATGCTCCATACGTGAAGTGGAGCTTGTGAATGTCACCATTTTTATAAACAATAGTAATGATGAGTCTTTTGTTTTTGCCACAGGTCTATATATGCAGCAACAATATTCAAGCTCGACAACAGGTTATTGAACTTGCCCGCCAGCTGAATTTCATTCCTGTTGACTTGGGATCATTATCATCAGCCAGGGAGATTGAAAATTTACCCCTGCGACTCTTTACTCTCTGGAGAGGGCCAGTGGTGGTCGCCATAAGCCTAGCCACGTTTTTCTTTCTTTATTCCTTCGTCAGAGATGTGATACATCCATATGCTAGAAACCAGCAGAGTGATTTTTACAAGATTCCTATTGAGATTGTGAATAAAACCTTGCCCATAGTTGCAATTACTTTGCTGTCCCTGGTATACCTAGCAGGTCTCCTGGGAGCTGCTTATCAGCTTTATTATGGCACCAAGTATAGGAAATTTCCGCCTTGGTTGGAGACCTGGTTACAGTGCAGAAAGCAGCTTGGATTACTAAGTTTTTTCTTCGCTTCGGTCCATGTTGCCTACAGCCTCTGCTTACCAATGAGAAGGTCAGAGAGATACTTGTTTCTCAACATGGCTTATCAGCAGGTATGGAACATGCTTGTTATTCATCAGATACTAGTAAAATACCTTATCAGTATAATCTGTAAAATGTGAGATTTAAAATAGTGTCAAATTTTACAGACCTTGTGATAGAAATTTTGGCATATTTAGGGAGGGGAAAGAATTGTTCTTTATATGATGTTTCTGTATAAGAATTATGTGGCCGATTCAAAATCATTTAGGCTAAAAGCTGCTACTATACCTTTCTTTGAAGAGTAAGAACAGAAATAAAGGGCTAGTAGGTTTTTTCATTCTTTTTTTATGTTATGACTGCAATGATTGCTTTTAGCATTAAACAGTTATTTCAGTGTTTTAATTTGGCCATGTTCTGTGAAATGATAACGTTCTCAGTAAACATGCGATAAAATTAGAACCACTGAAAATACAAAACAGAATAGGAAGCCAAGATCAGGAGGCATACATTTACAAGGCTTTTGTTATCAAAAAGAGGAGGAAATTACTCAGGTGAAGCTTTAGTTCCCTCACGTGAACCTTTATAGCACTCAGCTCTGAAAGAAAATCTCACAAAGCTCCATGCAAGGAGCTTGATAATGGAGCCGAGTATGAGTTTCCTCAATAATTCCCATTCAAAAAAAAAAAAAAAATTCCCATTCAGCAAATGTAACATGAGGGGTTTCACTGATGCTGTTTGATGTAGCATTTACCAGTGACAGCGAGGACACTGCACCAAAACAAATGGGAGCTTTTGCATTTCATAAGGAACCAAGGCATCATGATCCAAGTATGTAGTGCTTGGAACTTTGGCCTGTTTCAACAGTTTCAACCTAGAATAATGTGAAAAAAATTAGGAAATTGATGTTCTTTAAGCCATTGTCTCTGTAAAACCCTTCTTCTCTTAACCGAATACTAAGGCTTTGATAACTGCTCCACCAGCTCCCTCACTGGGCGTGAAGTTGTTTACGCAGATCTCAGCTCCTCACGGAAGCCGAGCCTGGACACCATTTTAAATTCTTCAAGCTGCTTCCACCTCAACCCTTACCCTCCCCCTCCCTGAGGCCCTCCTACTCTGCTCTTCTTTCACTTTTTTCAATAGCGTTTACCACCTCCTGATTGATACACTTTATGTTTTCCTTGTTTATTGTATGTATAATAAACTGCTTACCAGTGAGAAGGTCAGAGAGATACTTGTTTCTCAACATGGCTTATCAGCAATAAGTTCATCAGAATGTAAGTTCATGAGAGGAGGGACCTTTGTCTGCTTTGTTCACTGATAGATGCCTAATGCCTAGAACTGTGCCTGGCACCTAGTAAGGCACTCACAAAGTGTATCTGTGGGATGAATGAACGAACTGGGAGGCCGGGTCGGTGCAGGTTGTAAGTTCTGGGTCTACCGAGGTATGTTGCTGTTCTGTATTGTTGTATAGACATGAAACAAGATAATAAGAGCCTTTTTCCACAGAGGAGCTCTGTGGCTTTTTTCGGGATGTTGGTATGATTGTTCCAGGGGCCTAAGGCTCAGAGCTAGCTTTTCTTTTTTTTTAAATTCCAAGTTTGTTTGGTTAACTGAACTGGACAGAGTTAAACTGTGTTAAGTTAGAATCTGTTAGCTATGAGTAGATACTTATTTAAATCAAAGCTTTAGCCCAGGGAGTCCAACCTTTGATTTATACTCTAATTATATTGTTTACATGTAAACAGACAATTCTGAAAGTAGTCCCTATAGAGAATACCACACATTCAGAGTTAATCAAGTCTGACTTGATTATATAGGTATTATCAATGTAAGGAAAAGACATTTGGAAAAGTACTATAGAGGAATGAGGCAGTAGGACAGTTGGAAAAGTTTATCAGTGAGGCAATTCAAGAGACTAAATATTTGCGTTCAGTCTGACTTTATCCATAGGGAAATCTCAGCTTCCTGAGGAAAAGAAAGTAAGAAAAAAGAAATAAATTACATACAAATATTCTTCAAGTGAGAAAGAGAGATGCATAATTTAGAAATTCTCTTCCTGGATTCTAAGTTGATCTAAAGCCAGGATGTACCCAAAATAGTCAACCGAGTTTAAACCAACTTAGAAAAGTACCTCAAAACTAAGTCTAACTGCCAGTACTTTTTTTATGTCACCTTGGAACCAACCACTTGGCATTCCTGGTCTTGGGACTCCAGACTCCCTGTAACTGTGATGTATGACAGTGTAGGTGGCAGATTTACCCACCGCCTCGCATGTATGCAAGGAAAGAGAGACTTAGTCCTCCTTTTATTTAACTCTCTCTTCTCTTTTCCCCACATCTGGCACAATACCATCCGGTAATAGGTTCTCCATCCCAGTCTGTTAAATTGAAAAACTACAGCTTAAATATCTCTATATATGATGTATTCTTATGCCAAGAGTGAACTGTGCTGAATCTGTGAATATTCTGCCAAATAGAGGAAATTCACATTTACTCTCATTAGGTTCATGCAAATATTGAAAACTCTTGGAACGAGGAAGAAGTTTGGAGAATTGAAATGTATATCTCCTTTGGCATAATGAGCCTTGGCTTACTGTCCCTCCTGGCAGTCACCTCTATCCCGTCAGTGAGCAATGCTTTAAACTGGAGGGAATTCAGTTTTATTCAGGTACGTGGGTTTTTTTGGTGAGAGGTTGGGCGGCACAGAATTTAAGTGTTAAGTACAGTTTAATTTTAAATATGCTTTTTTTTTTTTTTAAAGAGTGCGTTTGGGGCTGCATTTATGTATCTAGCTCAAGGAACGACAATTGCTGGAAGCTGGCCTAGGACCATTCTGGTTTAGTAAGCAAAAGACCAGTACAGGATTCTACTAGAAGACTTTGATAGCACTGCCTACTGTATTATGGATAAAGTTTGTTTTAAAAAGAAAAAAAATGAAGGTGGGGGATGGGTAAGCTTAGATCAAGTTCAGTGCCAAAAGTCAATTTGTTACTCAACCAATGGGTGAAGAATTTCTTTATATTTTGAGTCACTCTCATCTGGCTAGAAAAATCTCATTAATTTGAATTCAAGTGGGGAGGTCAGTCTGGTCATTGTAAAAGAAATGTGTATGTAAACAAACAGACACAAATAGTGGCAAATCAGGTGACTGGGCTGATGGATTGCGACAAGCAACCACCCTTATGAATCTTGTTCGTATATGTATTTCGTGTATTAGTTGTATATATGTGTCTATGAGTATATACAAAAGGGTTTCAAAACAGCACTGTGTTCTTTAATAAACATTCACCTTCTCCAGTAAGAGTTACTTAATAAATGTACATATTTATAACATATGTAACTCAAACTTAGACCCCACCTATATTATTACAAAGTCAGTATTGGTTGTATCCAAATAGTTTATAGCACAATATGTGGGTGACTCTCATTTGGTGGTACACTCAATTCTGTTTTGTTTGTCTATTTGCTTGAGCTTTTTTTTCTTTTCAAGTCATCTAAAGAGCTCATTCAAGTTCAGGGCATCTCCCTGTCGAATTCATTTTTCCTTTTTGAAGGAAAGAAAACATACTTTTCTGACTGTCAGAAGGCCCTCTGGTAAAAGGTGTTAGATGGGTGCAAGTGATCATTAAACTGAGATGAGTAACTGCAAAACAACAGCTTTCTGCTAGAGAGTCGATCCTTTCCCAGTGAAGTTAGACTTTACATCATTAGACTGATGTAATGTTACCAAGACCGCTTCTCAAATTAAGCAATCAAACGTAGTAATTGAGGGAGCCCAGAATGCTGACCTTTTAGATTTTTACCTATGAACTGCTTAATGGAAGTACTCTTAATAATTTCATTTAATGTGGTCAGTAAAACCACATGTTTGAAATGTTATTCATATTACATACTAATACTATAAAATTTTTCATATTTACCTTCAGCTAGTATATATATGTGGGGCAGGGTGTGGGGGGAGTGTATACCCATGAGAATGCTTTTCAGCACTTACTTTTATTATATATGTATATATATATGTGTGAATATATATATACATATATATATTTACATATTTTTTAATACACGTAACTGGTGGAAATGTGGATAACCTTTGTCAAGAAGTTTTGCAGTTTTCATCAGTACCCTTAAGGAAAACCCAGATGTTTTGACCAGTAATCCCCCTATTAGAAATAAGTTCTAAGAAAATAAACCAAAATATAGAAAAGAGCTTATAGTGGAGGAAAGTTGGAAACAGTAAATGATCAACAAAAAAGGAATGATTAAGTAATTTATAACACATCCATTCAATAGAATATTATATAGCATTTGAGTCATGTTTTCATATTTAATGACATGAGGAAAAGGTTCTTGATATAATAATCAGAGTATTAAACTATATGCAGTGTGGCTTTATTTGTATAAAATAAGATGTGCAAACAAATATGTAATTTATGGAAATACTAAAATTGTTTAATTCAGTAGAGAACAAAGAGTAGCTCAGTAATTTAAGATAAAATAGTTTTAGCACACTATAAGTATGGTGTAGCTGGACAGGTTAATTTATGAGTTTGAATAATTTGTTCCTTATTCTGTTTTTCTTCCTCCTCTACTCAAGTCTACACTTGGATATGTCGCTCTGCTCATAAGTACTTTCCATGTTTTAATTTATGGATGGAAACGAGCTTTTGAAGAAGAGTACTACCGGTTTTACACCCCACCAAACTTTGTTCTTGCTCTTGTTTTGCCCTCAATTGTAATTCTGGGTAAGATCATTTTACTCCTTCCATGTGTAAGCCGAAAGCTAAAGAGAATTAAAAAAGGTTGGGAAAAAAGCCAATTTCTAGAAGAAGGTATTGGAGGAGCAGTCCCTCATCTCTCACCGGAGAGGGTTACAGTAATGTGATGATAAATGGTGCTCATTGATGCCCTGTAGAGTTCCATTCGTGCCATTGTTTTTATGACTTTCTTTATGTCATTTGCAAGTGCACTGTCAAATTGATGTGGGCTGAATTCTGTCCAGTAAGATCTCAACCAAATTAGTGGTAGGAGTTTCTTGAAATTAATTTTCACAGATGTCATATTTTGGCAATGTGAATTTTTGTTGTCAACTTGTCCATTTTGTTTTGCACAACCATAACACTCCTGTCGTTTTAACAAACTGTATTCCATAATCAGGCAAAGATATTTCTGGTTAATAATATAGATACACCATAATGTTAAAAAGAAAACCAGCAGAATTTTAAGTTTTAGTATAATTTAATGGATATATATTTTTTTTTTCTGAAGCTTACTTAAGGTTTTAATTGTTATCCAGCTCAAGAAATAGAAATGCATAATCACACATTAACTTTAAGAAAGGTCACATTACATTAGCATCTAGGCAGGGGTAAATGGTAACATTCCTATATTTTTCTCATAAGATCGATTTTGAAGAATGTAATTGTATGAACCAGTGTGATCTGTGAACAAACACAAATTAAAAAAAATAGAATCTGAAATTATATTTGAAATGCAATGGAGACATGAAATGCATACTGATAATATGTACCTCGTGAAAGATTTTATTCCTTATCTTGTTACAGAGCAGTTTCATTTGCCTGTTATTATGTTGGTTAGGGAGAAGACCATGATATTTGGCTTCCAAAAGTGATTTTTCTAATGTGGTACCAAGCCTGGGAATCTTACAGTTGTTTTCACTTAGAGGGAAGGTGTGAAGTTTACCCACCAATAGTTGTTTGTCAGCTGATCTACGTTGTTGCACGTTGGTCAGACCCCACTTTTATCTGCTATAAGATTTTACTGACATTCGCTGAGGGATGGTAACATGCCAGGCACTGTTCTAAGCAACTTTACTTATATTATCCCATGTTGATATTTACAACAACTCCACGACAGAGGTAGTTACTATCCTCATTTTACGTATGAGAAAACAGAAGGATAGAAGAGTAATTTGCCCAAGGTCATGCAGTTAGTAAGAGGCAGAGCCAGCATTCAAGTCGAGGCAGTCCCATTTCAGAGGCTCCAGTTTTAACCACCAGGCTGATGGTCCCTGCTCCATCCCCATGCGTTACCATAATGATGCCAATCTGGATGCTTCCTCTTTGGTCAGTAAAGGCATTGACATTCTTTACAGTGTGTTGTGGGTATCAAAAATTTATGAAAATATTACAGTCATAAATTTATGATTGCTTGTGGGATAAACTACAGTTCCTTACCTTGCAAGAGGATCTTGTCTGGGACATGACCTTGGAGACCCATGGTGGTCCAATACGATTCCCTATGCAGTGAGGGACTCCAGCAGAGTAGGACCATAGCAGTTTTAATGAATGGCTGAGGTCCTACAGAATCTTTAAAAATCCCTGTAGAGTTTTTTTCTCTTCCTGAGAAGTCCTCCTGCCTGTTCAACCGTTCATTAGGGAGCAGTTTGCAAGCATTAAGGATATTAAGAAAAGTGGTTAGGGGCGCCTGGGTGGCTCAGTCATTAAGCGTCTGCCTTCTGCTCAGGTCGTGATCCCAGGGTCCTGGGATCGAGCCCCGGCATCGGGCTCCCTGCTCCACGGGAGGCCTGCTTCTCCCTCTCCCACTCCCCCTGCTTGTGTTCCCTCTCTCACTGTGTCTCTTGTCAAATAAATAAATAAAATATTTTAAAAAGTGGTTAATTATAAATCTCTAGAGATATAATAATCATACATATTATTCATAAAATTTTTTAGTGCTGACATTCCACATTAAAATTGCATTTTGTTCAAACCTTGATTAGAATGCCCGACATTTTTTTCCCATTTGTTCTTTCCTTATTAAACTAGAAAGTTGCAGATAAGATACAAGTATATGCATTATGTAATTATATATCCTGAAATTATAACTTTTCTAAACTTACCCACTGAGGTACTACTGAATCCAGCCAAAATAAAAGGAGTTTTGGTGTGGGGGCAGAGGGAGAGAGAGAATCTTAAGCAGGCTGCTCACCCAGGGGCCCAATGGGGGGCTTGATCTCATGACCTGAGCCAAGATCAGGAGTCGGACAACTAACCAAGTGAGCCACCCAGGCATCCATAGAAGGAGTTTTATCTAGTTGGAAGCTACCTTCCCCACCATTGGCTCTTTCCCTACTGCTGCACCCTGTCAATTTGGTAAATCACTCATGAGTCTCTGGTGTTCTCTTCTTGGTGAATTTAAGTATCTTGTACTTCTTAATTGAGCTCTCCATTTTCTTTATTTTAATTCTGTTCTTTCCCTCTTGATAATCACTTACTTGCTAGTTTTTAGTAGGAATTCAGTTGGGTGATAACTTTTAAAGGGAAATACCCATAAACTGTTGTAGGGCATTACTGAAGTTAACAGCATATTTTCAATATTTGCTCCTCAAGTTTCACTCTCAAGACCATGCTTTCACCAGTTAATGTGAAAATACAATGAAATATTCTTAAAAGTTAGATGACTATTGAATTATATTGTTGCATGTGTATATTAAGTAGCCAATAATATAAATAACATTATCACTACTACAGATAAATGGGGCCTTTGAAAATGTGAAAATAAAAACAAAATTTATGAAAATGTATATAGGATGAAGCTTTTGTTTCAAATGATAATATCTCCTTTTTAGTACTACAAAGATGAAATAATTTTGAAGTTTTAGAATAAATGTAATATATTCATTATAATTCTAAATGTTTAAAAGCCTTTCTAAAAATACAGAAATATTGACTTTTATTTATTTGACTTTTATTGCTTTATTTTACCATTTTCTACCAGATTATTTTTCTTAGTCATTATTTCTCGTAATCACTTTTTTTTAAGTCATTACTCTGGCCTCAGAAGTAGGACTGAATTCTGCTCTTGCTAGGTGTGAGAAAGTGGTGGGAACTTTCAAGTAGTGCAGTTTGTTTCCTGATGTGTATTATGAGAAGTGCCCCTGAGAAAATTATAAGAATGTAGAAAATATACCCAGTCTTAATCCTATGCAAAAAAACGAAGTAATTTTTTCCTAAGAGGAAAATAATCATGGGCTGAATCATGCTATTTAGCGTTTGTGTGCAGATTTCATATGTCTCCTTTATTAAGAATATTTAAAACCATGTTTAAATAAGATTATATTCATGCTAACATATATTTTTCAAAGCATATATGGAAATTTAGCCCAGATTGTCTACATGTAGAGATTTTTATTTAAATTTTAAAATATTTTAAAGTATGAAGAAATTATATTTATAGGTATTTATCGGAGATAATTATTTTGTGCTACATACAGGATTGGCTAGTGAGCTCCAGTATTAAACTACCTGATTAATTTCTTATAAATTAGCCTAATCTTGACTTGATTAAGGAATTTTACTTTCAAAATTAATTTGATAATAGTAATTTAAGGTATATTCATACTCACAAATTATGAAAATTATTTGTGTAAAAGGGCTTCAAGAATATATCATATCCGATTTTTGTATTGTTTATCTTATGTAATATAAAATTTTAATTGTTTTTAATTGCCTTTTGCCATTAAACTGTTTCATAATAAATTCTGTACGAAGAGTTTTGCCCCCAAATAGAGGTTTATTTGTGAAATGTCAGGTTTCTTATGTGATATTTTAAATAAAGGACCCATAAATGTAACTCATAACTATTTCTTTAGGAATACTTTAAACATTGAACCTGCGTCAGTCTATAGAATCTCTGTTTTGAAATAAGTATTCAAACAGCCTAAAATTTGGTGTTGAAATTATTTTGTGAATTCCTGACTTAAAGTATTGCTACACATAGTATAACATGCCTCAGTTGTGTTAAGATTTCTACTTGTGATGTGTTGTCATGAAAAGGAGATAGATGCTCTACCCTCAATTGTTCAGAAGTCAGTAAAACGGATTATGGTAAATATTCAGTATATGTAATTGCTCTAAATGAACCTGTACTGATTTTAGTGGAAACACAGTCTGTTCTTACCTTTGAACAGTGAATTTTACAGGAATGAATGGGTTCTTCAGTTTTTTTTAATGCAAGAAAATTATAAAGTGCTAATATTCAGAGATTCTGTCCAAAACAATATTTAGTTCAGCCTAACACACATACATTCTGAGATTTTTTTTAATTTTCCAAATCCCCTTGGCCTTCCATCATGCAGTCATCCAAAATTAGGGTAGGCTATACATACAGGATTCTCCCAGTGGCTGGATAGGCTAAATTAAATCACCAAAACAGGTGCTTTTGTATGATTTTCAAATTGCCAGCTTCAAGGAAGTATCCTCTTAAGATTTTCCTTGAAGGTCCTTCATAGCTTTGCAGGTATCCAGCCTGCACAGGAACTGGAAGTTGTCTCCCAATGTCTGGTTACCCTACTTCTTTAAAAGCTGCTGCCCATCACATTACTCAACTGCCCTTGCAGTTAGGTGTCCCAGTGGGACTGAGGGCCAGTGAGATGTAGGGGGACGTATGGGTAACTTCTTAGAAGTCTCTTCAAAGAAAAGCAGAATGTGTTCTTTATCTCATCCCTCCATCTTGCTGCCGGAATTGTGGATACAGCAGGAGGCCTGGCAAATGTCCCAGACGACCAAGGCCACACCCTAAGGAATGCCAGTCAGAAACTAGAAGGATCTTGACCCCTTCACTATTCAATTCCCTTTTCCTATATTTGACCCACTGTATATTTGGGTTTCTTTATATGAAGTCAAAACAAATCCATTCTGGCCTTCAGTTCTTTGTTGTGATACTGCTTAACACTGTTTGAATGAACTAGATTGCAGTAAATCTTACCTTTAAAAGTTTTTAAAGGATAATGTGCAATTCACATTTAGAATTTATTTTCCACTGTTAATTATACTCATTTTCTTGCCTTGATCTTTCCTTAGATATTTTGTACCTGCTTGGAAAAATACCATCTTCTTTATGACTGTGTAATGGGTATTTGCTAAAACTCTGTAATCTCCAAAATATTGCTATCAAATTACATGCCATGTTTTTATATCATTCTCATAGATATGCCTTATGAACATCTAAATAAAAAGTATTATTTAATGTGTTTTGACTTCTCTTTTGAAATGTTATATACAAATGGATTTTTCTTTCTTACTGAATAATTTCAATATTTGATGGAGACCATCTATTTCTTTGTAGAAGGATCTAGAAAGCAATACATGTAATAGTTTTGGGGTTTTGGAGGTTTTGTTTGTTTGTTTTTGCCAAGATAGTCATTTAGGAAAATATCCATCGAATGAGGCAGTATTTTAAAAATTATTTCAGTGGCACCTGGATGGCTTAGTCCGTGGAGCATGCAACTCTTGATCTCGGGATTGTGAGCTTGAGCCCCACATTGGGTGCAGAGAGTACTTAAAAATAAAATCTTTAAAAAATTTTATTTCATTTTACTAGCATTCATTAAGTATCTTTAAACCAGGGCTCAACATATAATAGTCAAGCTATATTTTCTAAGCTCCCTGATAGCAAAAAAAATGTATCTCATTCACTAATATATTCCCAGTGTCTAATGCAGGATGGTTCTACAGATACTAATGAGATAATGAATGTTGACTCATCTTTAGAGAAAATTATGTTATTTATCACCCTACATTCATGCAGCTGTGCCTGCATCCTCCTGCCCACACCCCTCCCCATCATTGTCTCTACCTCTTGCCTTGCCTGCTGGCCATCATCACCACCGTCACCACACTGTATTGAGGAGAAACGGACACTGGGGTCTGTGCACGGGATCCGGGGAAAGCTCTAGCTTCCCCCACAGCTGCCAGAAAATGCATGGGTGTTAATATCCTGAGAGTAGGGTTGCCAGGTAAAATACAGGACACTCAGTTATTAGGAAATGCAGACAAACAATGAATAATTTTTTATGTAATTCTATTACAAATATTGCATGGGACTTTTTTTGTTTGCGTTTGCTAAATCTGGCAACACGACCTGAGGGTGATCTTTGACCAAAGAGATGTGGCACAAGAGGGAGCTGGTGGATAAATTCTCCCTTCCTTTCCCCCAGATACGCTGTTCCTTAGTGCAGTAATTCTTAAGGCCTCCATGAAAATATCATAAAAGACTGAGCAGTTAATTAAACTGCACTTGTTCCAAAGCTATGGCCAGCTCAGTAAAACCTATATTTGCCTGCCTCAACTTCTACCTTTTCCTGACATGCTTCCCAGAGAGAGTGCCACCCATTAAAGTAGCAGCAGGTAAATGTTTGTCATTTGTTTATGGTAGGCTCTAGAGAACCTAGGCTGGCAAATCAACTTTGGTAGTGGATTCTTCAAATAGAAAATGAAACATGACATAAATGATGATTTTGACAAAGCCAGGCACTGTAGGCTCAAAATTCAGATCGGTTGAGAGCTCAGAGTGGCTACATCTCCCAAGGGCAGATTCACGTTGATCAAATGTACAGTGATTGTTAAATCAGAATAGCCGTTTATCACCACTGTGAGAAATAATCAATGTCCTATAGGTAAGGATACCAGCATTGCCTTAACTAAGCATATTCTATTCTTTAATTTGTTCTTCATTAGAATTTATATTATAACCCAAAGTATGCTGGGATCTGTTACGGACTGAATTATATCTCCCAAGAATTCATATTAATTCATAGGGCCTTTAAAGAGGTAATTAAGTTAAAATGAGGTCATATGGGTAGGCCCTAATCCAAGGATGACTGGCGTCCTTACAAGAGGAGATAAAGACACAGAGGGAAGACCATGTTATGACAAAAGGAGAAAATGGCCATCTATAAGCCAAGGAGAGAGGCCTCAAGAATGGAACCAATCTTGGACATCTTAATCATGGGGTTCTAGCCTCCAGATTGTGAGGAAATAAAATTTCTGTTGTGTAAGCCACCTAGTCTGTGGTAATTATTTTGGCAGCCCTAGCAAATTAATATAGAACCTATGGAATCAGAGCAGGTCAGGTCAGTTAATGACCTTGAATAATTAATGTCATTGGAATAAACTTATCTGTTTAATCCTGCTCCACAATAAAGACGGTTCTATCCTGGGGGTACTACCTATAACCTCCCACCATGTAAATACAATAGTTTTTAGTTTTAAAAGCTTGAGAGCATTTTCATTTCATGGAATATTCCTATGTCATGGGACTGAAGCTTTGATCAGGTAAGAAGTGCTCCATAAATTTGTTTCATTTACATATTACCATTGATTTAGTTTCTCCATTAAGCATGAATAGCTCTTCCACATTCCTGTTTAAAAAAATCACTTGCAATTTGGATTAGTACATTTTGTATTAGAATGGTTAACTTCAGAGGTGGCTGTTCTTTTACTTTTGTTTTCTGTTGCATGTACTTCTTACTCCCAGATTTGAACCAATGATTCTGTTGGAAAGAAGCAATTACTTTTCTTTCTCTCTTAGGCTTTGTTTCTGTAACAATCAACCTGAAAGATTTTTTTAAAACACTAAAGTAGATGAAATTCCAGCTTTATATGTGTTCTTTCTTTTTTTTTTAAAGATTTTATTTATTTGACAGAGATAGAGAAAGAGCACAAGTAGGCAGAGTGACAGGCAGAGGGAGAGGGAGAAGCAGGCTCTCTGCCAAGCAGGGAGCCGGACGTGGGGCTCGA